ACCCCACCCCATTGAGGCACTGCCGAGGGATCTCCTCAAGGAGAGGAAAAGATAGCAGCAAAGTTTTGTAACCATGCATCACCACTTGGAATGTCCAGGGGTTGGTTACCCGCTGCTTCGACGCCAAAATACACCAGCTCAATCTGTGTGTGACATATGTGGCCATGGGTTTAGTGGTTCTACATTGGGGGCAAACTCTCCTAAGCCAAGGCGTAAGAGTCCAAAAATTCAGACTCTGCCCCCCCCGTCGAACACTTGCCCGTTCCCCTAGTCCCAGACAGATGCATCAACCTTGCTTCCCCGCGACCTTTGAGAGAATCCAAGGAAGGAAAGAATCCACCACCTGGTCCCTTCTTCCAAAGAGTAGGGGCGCTTGCCTGTTTGAACATTTCATGAAGACTAACCAGCGCTGGGTTTCCGCGAGCGAACGGTCTCAACGTGTAAAATGCGCCAATTCTACTATCTTGGTGGTGACTAGACTCCGTTCTTCGTACAACGAGCGCCGACATTCATTACGAACATAACTGCAAGTCGTATGAACATAACAGTGAGCCGCAGGCACCATGCACCCACACTTTCCGTTAGTCTACTAGTTGTCAAGTATAATATTTGTACCTTTTTGAAATGCATTTTGTATCTTTTATGATAATATATCTTGCATGCATGAATCGATTAAATAAGATAACTATTTTGGTATTCTATGTATTGAAACAGGGAATGCCGTATTACGTTGGGAAGTTGTGTATCTACAACATTATTAATATATTAATATAAAATTATTAACAGTTGGGCGCAGCCAGTTGGGTACCACCAGTGTCAAGATGCAGGTGTGCTTCTGTCGGGATTTCTCCAGTACCCGGTAAATCAGCGGGAAAGGAGGAAAGGCATATGCGTTCGCAAGCAGCTGCACAGTGCAGCTTGACTTGGGGAACTACCCTGTGAACTGACGTCATCCCAATGATGCGCATCAGTTCGAGAGACACAGAGGGTACCCTGACTAGATGTTCGACTAGACTGCTTATTTACTAGAATGCCTAATTGGTGTAGTAAATCCTGTGTTAGCTTTACCTGCTCAGCCAACAACCCCTTGTTTTGGTTGTGTAGCAACCAGTCGTCTAGGTACGGGTTGATGTGTACTGACGACTGATGCAGCAGCACCACCACCTGTTTCAACACGTATATAGCTGTGCATAACCAGAAGGGGAGCATCCCGAATTTGAAAACATGGCCCAAAAGGGCGAGTCGGAGGAGTCAATGACTCGCTGGGTGCATCGGTATGTGCTGGTAAGCATCACTTAAATCGACTAACCAATCGAACTGTGCACGAAGAGTAAAACAGTGCTTGGCGTCTTAATGTGGAACCCATTGAGGAGCACATACTAATTTAGCTTGGACACCGGCCACCTGTAGCTTTGGAAACTGCAAACATGTGCGAATACAGGACCTACTGCTGAGTCTTCTACAATGTGTATAGCACCTTTGTGAGCTAACTGTCTACCTCCTGTACCCCCCC